TAGCACCAGGACAAGGGCCTGAGTCATAGTAGGTGCTCAATAAAATTCACGGAATGATAAATGTTCACCTTTCTAGCTACCCTGAAGCTGGCCATGGGCATGTGACCCATGCCAGGCCACTTGGAAGCACCCACCCCGAGTGTGACTTACAGCTAATGACCTACATCTACTTATTGTTATAGCTGTGTCTAGATTTCCCCCAAAGTCTCATCCAGTCATAGGTGGGGCTTTTTCAGAGGTGGCTGAATCTAGAGTGTGTGACTGACTCATGGTTCAATGCTAGGACAAAGGGTGCAAGGATTAAAGGTGGGTGATTACTATATCAGTCCACTGATTGGTTTGGAACTGCCCTAAACCCCAGAAGCCTGGATAAAAAATAAGGGACAGAAAGAGGCTTGTATTTCTCCTTGTTGCTTTGCTACCTTCTTCTCACCATGAACAGTTTCTCCTCTGCCATGTGCCACTCTGCCTTGGAGCCAGATGACTATGGACTGAAACCTCTAAGAATCCTTTCCTCCTTTAACTTTGGGTGTCAGGTACTTTGTCCCAACAACCTGAAAAGTAAGATACTCATCAAGCACAGATGGAGTAGAGCAGCTGGCTCAAGCTAGGGTCCTGGGTAGCAGCTTGTTCCCTGATAGTGGCACTGTGTTGGCCCTGCAAGCTGTGGTAACTGCACTTGGGTAGTTTTCACTAGACCACATCCACACAGAATTCTGGGAAAGGCTTGAGGCTGTGTAGATTCCAAACCTGATCTCTCAACCTTCCAGAAAATTCTGTGGGGCATCCAGTATCTTTTTAATAAAATATCTTTTCTGTTATTAAACACTGTTTCTAAACAGGTTTAGCTATCTATGTAGCCCAGGTTAGCCTTGAGTTCATGGGAATTCCTTGCCTCCGTTTCCTGAGGGCCAACACACCTGGCTAGTTTTTAAAACAATTTAATGGGCTTTAGACTTACAAGACCCAGAGCCAAATACTAACTTCAGTTAGTAATACAGGCTAAGTCATGGAACCGTTGCAAGCTTTATGAGTAAAAACCCAAGTTCTGATTGTTAGCAATTAAAATGTAGAACATTTCATAAAAAATATGAATTCTTCTCTACTTCTCTAGAAATATGTCTGAACTTTTTGCAAAACTAGAACCACATTCCTACCTGGCAACAATGAGGTTATTTATTTATTTGAGGTACGATTTCATTATGCAGTTCAGGCTGGCTTGAAGTCACTTGGTAGTCCAGCATGGCCTTAAAATAGCAATGGTTCTACTGCTTCAGCCTCCCAAGTACTGGGACTACAGGTGTGTATCACAACACCCAGCTTGGTTTTTTAATGTAGGGTTTTGAGTTTATAGCCTAACCTAACCCTAACACACCCCTAAACATGGTAGAAACCTAATACTGACCCAAAGCTTAACACTAACCCTAACCCTAACTCTTGCCTACCTAAGGTTAGGGCTAGGGCTAAATCTAGGTCTAGGCCTTGGGTTAGGATTAGGATTTTGGTTAGTGTTATGTTTAGGGCTAAGGTTAGGGCAAGGGTTAATGATAGGTTTAGGATGAGGGTTAAGGTTTGGGTTCAAGTCAGGGGTGGTGCAACTGTTAATTCTAGGGTTAAGCCTAAGGTTAAGGCTAAGATTAGGGTTAGGGTTAGGATTTCAGGTTAGAGTTACAGTTAGGTTAAGAGTAGGACTAGGGTTAGAGTTAAATTCAGGGCTAGATTTTAGTGGTTAGGATTAGGGTTAGTGTCAGATTTAGGGCAACAGTTAGGTTTATGGTAACAAAGGAAAGGACTAATATTGCTGAGAGGGTTAGGTTCTGGCTTAGGGTTAGGGTTAGAGTTAAAATTTAGGTTAGGGGTAGGGCTAGATTTAGGATTAGCATCATAATCTGTGTTAGGGTTAACATGAAAGCTTGGGCTAGGGCCAAAGCTGGGACTAAGGGTAGGGGTGTTAGGGTTAGGATTATAGGTCCAGGGCTATTGTTTAAATAAGGGTTAGTCCTAGGGTTAGGGTTAGGGTTAGGGTTAGGTCTAGGGTTAGGGTTAGGATTATAGTTGAGGTTAGTGTTAAAATCAAGCTAGGGTTACGGCTAGTATTAAGTCGAGGCTTGTATTAGGCTTACGGCTAGGTTGAGAGCTAGAGTCAGCACTCAGGCTGGAGGTAAAGTTAGCATTAGAGTTAAGGTTAAGGCTACGGCTACATGTAGGTTTAAGGCTAGGGTTAATTCTAGTTTTAGTGGTACATTTAGGGTTAGGGTTTCATTATGGGATTGGTTATGTTCAGTATAGGTTCATGCTTAGGACTGATGTTAGGGCTCAGGTTAGGGTTAGGCTTAGTTTTACAGCCAATATTATGGCTAAGTCTATGAACATGTTTGGTCCTAGGATTAGGGTTTAGTTAGGGTTAGGCTTGGGGAGAAGACTGCAGTTAGAGGTAGGATTTGGACTAAGGTTAGGGGTAGGGCTACTGCCAGGTGTATGGTTAAAGTTATGATTAGGTTTTGGGTAGGTTGAGTGTTATTGTTGGGTTTAGCATTATGGTTTAATGTTAGGTACACAGCAGGATTAGAGTTATGTTAGGGCTCATGCTAGGACTAAGGCTGGGCCTTTTTTATTTTTGATACAGGGTCTATGTAGTTGAGACTGACCTCGAATTCACTATGTAGGCCAGGCTGGTCTCAAACTCACACCAATCCTCCTGGCTCAGCCTGGGGAATGTTGGGATTATAGGTGTGTGCCACCACACCCGGCTTGTGCCTATTTTTTCACGGCTAACCCTAGGGTTTAATTTAGAGTTATGTTTAGATTTTTTTCAGGGTAAGGACTACATTTAGGGATAGGATGAGGGATATGGGTAGGTTAAATCTAGGATTAAGGGTAGGGCTGTGGCTAATGCAAGTGCTAGTAATAAGGCTAGGGCCAGGATTTGGGTAGGGCTAGTTTTGGGTTTAGGCTAGGGCTAATGCCATGGGTTGGGCTAAGAATAACCTTAATATTTGGGTATGATTAGGGTGAGGGTGTTGTTCTAGGGGTATAAAAATTTCCTAAAGCTGAACAATTAAATCATTTGCTAAATTGTCTCTAAGAACTTCTTCACAATGATACTGCTATGCACACACTGTTCTGAAAGTGTGGTTAATAGCAGTCCTTTCTTTTAGTATCTCTAGTTAATTTTTGATTGTTTTTGCTGGATATTGGATTCACCACTTCCAATATGCTAGACAAGCATCTAGTATGGAACTACATCAACTCCATGGTAGCACCAATTTGTCTTGGGGTTGACTACATTTAGCTGTGTGCCCTTCGTGACGCTGGCTGGTAATGGGGTCTTCTCCCTGTGCCCCTAGGCTGCAATATTCCAGAGGGGTTTCCTCACATTACTGGAACTGAGTGCTGGGTGCCAGGCAGACTCAACTGGGCCTCTCAGTCCTACTCCATATGTCCTGGACAAAGCGGGAAGGATCTTGCTGGTGTGAAGATCCTGGGTTGGAAATTCCCAAATGTCGCTTTTGCAGATTCAAGGTGATAGGCTACGGAGGCTGAGAAAGAAACTTTACCTGTCGATGTACGGAGCAACATATACACACTGGAAGGGAGGGGGAGATTACTGGGGATACAGCTAGTATTTTGATTGCAGGATAGCATTTTAAAACACGGGTTTCAGCCGGGCGTGTTGGTCTACACCTGTAATCTCAGCACTTGGGAGGCAGAGGCAGGAGAACTGATGTGAGTTCCAGGCCAGCCTGAATTACATAGTGAGACCTAGTCTCAAAAAACAAAAAGGAAGGGGTCAATTCAGGTGGATCCACTATGTCAAGTAGAATAAACCTCCCGTTAGGACAATGGAGCCACTCCTTGAGATTTTAAGCGAAGGGAAAGGTCACTGAGATTCAGAAGCGATTTGTTCATGCTACGGAATAAGGTACAGGACCAGAAAACGAACTGACCCCACGTTACTTCTAATTCCTAAAGAATTAATTCCTCGTGGGCCGACGTTTATTGCTGACCCGTGGATCGAATACCCTACATACGCTCCTGGAACACCTCGCGCTCTGCGGAAATGGCCTCCTTGTTTCAACCGGAAACAGAAACTGATCGCTGCGGACGCCGCCTAACGGCCGCTGGGAGTAAAACTAAACCCGGAAGGTCACTACACCGGAAAAGGCCAGGCTATTTCCGGGGAAAAACCTAACAGACCACAGGCTCAGAGGTCGAGCTCCGAGGTCCTCGCCAGTTAACCCACAGCGCTCGGATCCGCAACCTCGCGCGCACGCTTTTACGCAGGTGCGCGGCAAATGCGCAGGCGTACGCAAAGGCGTCCGCGCGTCCGCTGAGCGTCCGACACAGCAGTCCAGTAGGCAGGGTAAAAGCCTTCGGCTCTGGGACGCGCGCTTTCGGTCTGTAAACTACAACTCCCAGCATGCCTGCCTCTCATATCGGTGCTAGGTGTGGCTTCCTAGGATAGGATAAAAAGGTTAAAAGACGATGACGCATCAGAGAGAAAAAAATTGAATATGTTGTTTGAGGGAATTACTTGTACGAGCCCCAGTGGCCTAATGGATAAGGCATTGGCCTCCTAAGCCAGGGATTGTGGGTTCGAGTCCCATCTGGGGTGGTTGTACTTTTTAACTTTGCATTGTGTTCCTCTTAATTATGGTAGCGATGTGTCACCGACTTGATTTTATTTCTTTTTAAACGGAGTGGATTGTAGTTTTACTAGCTGTTTGGCTGCCGTTTATGAGAATCAGGATAGTCCATTTCCTTCCAGACGCAGGCTCTACAAGGTTTTTGGGAAGTCAGTCACTGTGTTGGATTTTGACAGCCCTCATCACCGCTCGTAGGCCTGCATCTCCTGAGACATCACTGTGCGGCAGTCTTACTAAGTGACCCGGTCGGAGAAGGGGTGAATTCAACCTGGCTTCTCTCTGCCTCCGGCAACACTCGGCTTTCTTCTGCTTTCCCATTACATTTGGGCGCGCTCGGCATTTGATTCTTGAGGCTGCGCCAATCCAGGAAGCGTGCGTCGGGCTGTCCTCCAATCTGTGGAGGAGCCCGGAGTCCAGGTCTGAGACGCGCCAGGACTCTACTAGTTTGAGGAGATAGAGGGCGTTAGAGGCGCGGCGCTCCGAAAGGGACGGAAGACGGAAAATGGCGGCTTTAGGGTCCCCGGGGCACACCTTGCGAGGCCTCCTGCGGGAGCTGCGCTACCTGAACGCGCCCACCGGGCGAGCCTATCGTGACACCGCAGCCTATCGGTACCTCATGAAGGCTTTCCGTGCTCATCGGGTACTGAAACCACAGCGGGAGCGCGGCATCTGCGGAGGGGAAGACCTGGGGGCTGGGCGGAGGCAAGAAGCAGGGTGCTAGGGCTCCCTCGGAGGTCGACTCTTCACCGAGCCTGCCCCCAACCGTAAAAACCAGGGCCCGGGGAAAAGCCTAGGCTCCGGTCAGGGCCGGGGGCTAACGAAGGACAGGCGGCGGCTTGGCCCTGGGGACGCGGTTTCTGCACTCGGGAGGAAGGGCAGATCTGTCTTTTAGCGTTCCATTGGCTGGTTCCGTTGTTAGGAGGAAAAGGGGAGGGGTCGCAGGTCGTGAAATACCCCCTATTCGGGAGGTTGAGGTAGGAGGTTTGCAAGTTCGAGGCCAGCCTGGCAACTTGGCGAGCTCACCTGGAAATAAAAGTTTTTTAAAGGCACGGGGTTCGTGTGAACCTTGGTTAGAGTGACTCGAGTGAACGCACATATGCATACGTTAGTAGAAGGTGTGAGTATACACTGCCTAAAGTCAGCCTCCCTCTTTGCTTCCCCTAAATTCTGTTGGAGGCGGGGTCAGCTTATCGTATGTACACCTGGCTTTCTGTCCTGTCAGCTCTTTTTCTGGTATCGATACAAGTCTCAAGGCCATTTGGTGCCTTTTTCTGTTTGTCTTTTTGTGTTTTTCTTTTTTGTACTCCCTGTCCTTGACTTACTTCCCAGGGGAATCTCTAGAAATTTTGTGTTTTAACTCGCCTCCTCAGGCTTAGCTAGAGGACCTAACAAAGCCCTTATTCTGTTTTCAGTTCTACAGACCTAATACATACCACATCCCGACACTGCTTCTACCCTTTTCTTACAACCTCTGAACTCAAAAACTAGTGAAGTAAAACAGCATGTTACACTTAATGTTGAAATTGAAGTGTGATGAAAAGAAATTAGGATTCAGTCATTGAGCTAGGCGTAGTGGTGCATGCCTGTAATCCCAGCACTGGGGAGGCTGAGGCAGGAGGATCACCTCGAGTTCAGGGCCAGGTTGAACTACAAAGAGAGATCCTGTCTCAAAAAAAAAAAAAAAAAATCTCTGTTGGACCAGTGCTTCTGTTGTCCCAGTTACTCAAGAGCCTGAGGCAGGATTCCATGAGTCAAGGAGTTTGGTGCCAGCCTAGGTAACAAGACCCTGTATCCAAAAAAAACAAGAAAGAAAGAAATCTGGGTGTAGTGTTACATACCTATAATCCTAGCACTCTGGGTGACTGAGGTAGGAAGGGGGCAAATTTGAGACAGGAAATATCGTGTATAGGTGCAAATTCCCTGTGATGAGTGTTATCATTATGCCTAAAACATAGCAATAAATGTTTTGATGTGAAAATGGAAAATGGGGAATTTAGCTCAGTGGTTCTGCTGCATGCCTCACAAGTGCAAGGTCCCAAGTTTGATCCCCAGTGCCACACACAAAAAAAGAAAACATAAAACTGAAAAAAAAATTTTAATTGAAAAAGGGCTAGAGAGTAGCTTAGGGTGAAGGCTAGAGGTTCAATCCCTCAGAAAAAAGTCAAAAATTATCTTTCATACTGAGCTTGTAGCTCAGTGATAGAACACTTAGCAAGCACAGGGCTTGGGTTCCATCCCTAGCATTAAAAAAAAAAAAAACTCTTGGGCCAGGGATTTGCTCAGTTCCACTGCCTATAGTACCTTTATAAATGAACGAAATACATACTCATGTTTATATTTTCTGTATAATTTACTTTTTAGAGAAATATCTTTGTGATTAAAAAAGACAGTATAGGCAAAAATATGAACAGCTAGAACTTGCATATACTGCTGTTAATATAAATTGGTACAACTATGACGACTGTTTGAAGCATCTACTAAAGTAGAATATATGCCTTTATAGGTAGGTTTATGGAAAGGCATAGGATTCTGTCTTCATTATATCAAAATGATGCATGTTAAGAAAAATATAGGTAGAAAGGAGACAAGGAATATCATAACCAAAAACTACTTTTAAGACGACTACAACTTCTGGGATACAGTTTGAAGTTACCCAAGGTGACTCCTATCATTATTCCCTGGGTTAATTTAGGCTCTTCTCCTTCCAGAGCCATAAATTGGCTTAGTTAAGGGACAGGCTGAGAGAATTCAAAGAATTCTTAAATTGTCCACAGTGCCAGGGATTTTGCTCAGTGGTGTAGCCGCTTGACTTGGAAATACAAGGTCCCAAGTTCAATCTCTTCTGCACCAAAAAACAAAACAAAAGCTAGGTTTATACCTGTGAATTGGGCCAGTACCCCCCTCTGGGGTAGGCAGCCTTTTCCTTGGTTTCCTCTCCCACAGGAGAAGCACAAATGTGAAAGGTTGCAGGAACTATCATGTCTCTCGAGGGCACACTTATTTCTTGGTGTGTGTATTTTTAAAATTCTGCCTGATAAATCCCTTTATGCCTTTTAAAAATAAGGTAACCTTTATGGGCCTATGTCTGTGGCCAGGGTGTTGACAGGGTGTGTCCTTGCTGCTTTCCTAGGTCACAAGTGAGAAGCTGTGCAGAGCCCAACATGAACTGCATTTCCAGGCGGCCACCTACCTTTGCCTCCTGCGCAGTGTTCGGGAACACCTGGCCTTGCACCAGGAGTTTCATGGCAAGGGTGAGCGGTCAGTGGAGGAGTCTGCAGGCTTGGTGGGTCTCCAGCTGCCCCGTCAGCCTGGCGGGAAGGGCTGGGAGCCGTGAGAGTGGAGAGATGCTTTGGATGCCACCCTGAGGAGAGTTTTAATAATTTCTATCAATATGTATTTATCATTAAAATTTTTTTTAAGTTTAGAGTTTCTGTCTTGTCATCTTGTTGAATGATTAGGGGAATAAACTGGGAGGTTCATCTTAACTGTCATTGAGTTTGCCAAAGTTAACTAGAGTTTATTGATATTTTTTATCTCTCTTTTTTTTTTTTTTTTTTTTTTTTTT